CAACTCTAGATTCTAAAGGATACATTTCAAGCTAGTGTCACTCAACTCTAGATTCTAAAGGATACATTTCAAGCTAGTGTCACTCAACTCTAGATTCTAAAGGATACATTTCAAGCTAGTGTCACTCAACTCTAGATTCTAAAGGATACATTTCAAGTTAGTGTCACTCAACTCTAGATCCTAAATTATACATTTCAAGCTAGTGTCACTCAACTCTAGATTCTAAAGGATACATTTCAAGCTAGTGTCACTCAACTCTAGATTCTAAAGGATACATTTCAAGCTCGTGTCACTCAACTCTAGATTCTAAAGGATACATTTCAAGCTAGTGTCACTCAACTCTAGATTCTAAAGGATACATTTCAAGCTCGTGTCACTCAACTCTAGATTCTAAAGGATACATTTCAAGCTAGTGTCACTCAACTCTAGATTCTAAAGGATACATTTCAAGCTAGTGTCACTCATCTCTAGATCCTAAAGGCTAGACTTCAAGCTAGTGTCACTAAACTCTAAATTCTAAAGGATAGACTTCAAGCTAGTGTCACTTAACTGTAGATTTTAAAAGATAGACTTCGAGCTAGTATCACTTAACTGTAGATTTTAAAGGATAGACTTCAAGCTAGTGTCACTTAACTGTAGATTTTAAAGGGTACATTTCAAGCTAATGCTACTCGATAATAAACTCCCTTCAAACGTTCATTACAACAGAAAATATAGCTGAAAATGAATATCTATTACACGCAATCAATAAAAAATTGACCAAAATTTTATGCATGGTTTCATGTTTCAGTATTGCAAGTTTTGGCACGAACCCTAATATAACTTGAACAACCCTGAGTCACAGTACTATAAGGCCTAAATACTAACATCAATATAACTTGAACAATCCTGAGGTACACTACTATAAGTCCTAAATACTAACACTAATATAACTTGAACAATCCTGAGGTACACTACTATAAATCCTAAATACTAACGCTAATATAACTTGAACAACCCTGAGTCATAGTACGATAAGGCCTAAATACAAACACTAATATAACTTGAACAATCCTGAGGTATACTACTATAAGTCCTAAATACTTACACTAATATAACTTGAACAACCCTGAGTCATAGTACGATAAGGCCTAAATACTTACACTTTTGTTCAAGTTATATTAAGTATTTAGGACTTATAGTAGTATACCTCAGGAACACTAATATAACTTGAACAATCCTGAGGTATACTACTATAAGTCCTAAATACTTACACTAATATAACTTGAACAATCCTGAGGTATACTACTATAAGTCCTAAATACTAACACTAATATAACTTGAACAATCCTGAGATACTTTACTATAACTCCCGAACACTAACACTAATATAACTTGAACAATCCTGAGATACTTTACTATAACTCCCGAACACTAACACTAATATAACTTGAACAATCCTGAGATACTTTACTATAACTCCCGAACACTAACACTAATATAACTTGAACAATCCTGAGGTATACTACTATAAGTCCTAAATACTAACACTAATATAACTTGAACAATCCTGAGATACTTTACTATAACTCCCGAACACTAACACTAATATAACTTGAACAATCCTGAGGTATACTACTATAAGTCCTAAATACTAACACTAATATAACTTGAACAATCCTGAGATACTTTACTATAACTCCCGAACACTAACACTCAAATAACTATAATGTTCGTAGACACTTTATTATAAATCATGAAGATTAACACTATGATAACTTTAACACCCCGGAAACAGTGTTTCAAGAGATAAGCATTAACACTTAAAGAATATTAACACCCCGAAACATTTTATTACAAATCATGAAGATTAACACTATGATAATTTTAACACCCCTGAAACACCGTGTTTTAAGATATGAACTTTAACTCAGATCGTCGTAAAACCCATGAAATACTTTACTTTAACTAAGATATGAAAGTTAACACTCACATAACACAAACAACACAAAATCTTCGTTTTCTGACTCTATAAGACCGTTTGAACACCTTGAAATCTGAATCTAGACAACTGATCGAACATTAAACGACAATAATGTTTTAACAGATCTTTCTTTACCGGCCCCCTCATTACGAGTTTCCACTGAATCTAGACAACTGATCGAACATTAAATGACAATAATGTTTTAACAGATCTTTCTTTACCGGCCCCCTCATTACGAGTTTCCACTGAATCTAGACAACTGATCGAACATTAAACGACAACAATGTTTTAACAGATCTTTCTTTACCGGCCTCTCATTACGAGTTTCACTGAATCTATACAACTGATCGAACATTAAACGACAATAATGTTTTAACAGATCTTTCTTTACCGGCCCCCTCATTACGAGTTTCCACTG